GTTGGTCCGTACCCTGCTGACGTCCCGGTTCTCTGGCTCCCTGCACCCGCGGCACCGAGCGACAGCGCTGGAGGGAGGGCCGGCTCTGGCCACCTTCCCGCCCACCGCGTTCTCTGGGTTCGGTCGGAGGCTTCTCTGGGGCCTTGGGAGCCAAAGGAGCTGAGCTGCAGAGCTCCCGGCTGAGCCTGTTCGCTGCTGGGCTCGCAGATGCCGCTGCTGGAGTTGTAAGTGTTAATTTGTTGGCACGGCGGCCCTGAAACTCTGCTGCCAGTAAGGCAAAGTGGTTCTAAAATGACTCCCTACGAGTTGGCTGCTCTGAGCAAGGGAGGTAAAATGGGAGTGCTGCGAAGGAGGAATTTGGAGGAGAGCATCACGAGCCTTCTGGCCAGGGCTGAGTTTTGCCTCTTGCTGTGAGGAATGTGTGGGGTCAGAGCAGGTTTTAAAAAACGGGCTGGGAGAGCTGGGGCTTGAACCTGCCTCGGGGGAGAGGGAGACTCCATTGACCCTCCAGATGTTTAGGGGAGCAGTGGTTCTGTGCTGGTGCTTCACGGTCTGAATGCCACAGGGGGGGGGATTTTTGGGCTGAATTAGCAACAGCTTCTGCCTGTGGAGGCTGTGCTGGGCAAGCTGCCCTCGGTGGCCTTGCACTAGGAGCCTGAGGTTGAGCTCCTGGGGACCTGCCTGAGCAGCTGGGTCACCTCTGCGGGGGAGAAAGCTGAAGGGGACAAAACCAGATGACCTTGTCCGGCCTGAAGCCTGGCTCTGAAAGTTTTTTTGGATGCTTTGTGTGTGTGTGTGAAACGTTTTGGTGCAATTTCATGATTCAGCTTCTCAGTGCTGCTTCGTGGTGAAGGGGGGTGGGACCTTGGTGGGAGCCACAGGGTGTGGGGTGGCCCCGTGGCCACACGGCCTCTGGTTTAAAGGCTGAAGTTGTGACCACCAGGAGGGATTCTCACCTTGTGCACTCCCAGGAGTTGGTTGGGTTTAGGATCTTGCCTGTGCCTTGGTGTGAGTGAGGAGATCTCCAGAGGTACCTGCTGAGGTGTGGGTCGCTCTGCCTGGTGTCCCTGGGGGTGACACGTGGCCGGGGGAGGTGACAGCTGCTGGGTGTCTCTTGGCAGGTGAAGGAGCTGGTTCTGGATAACTGCCGCTCGGACGACGGGAAGGTCGTTGGTCTCTCTTCAGATTTTGAGAACCTGGAGTTCCTCAGCATGATCAATGTCAACTTGCTGTCTGTCTCCAATCTCCCCAAACTCAACAAACTCCGGAAGGTGAGTCGGGCCCCTGGTCCCCTCTCCAGCACTGCTGGCTCTGAGACTTCTGCTGCGTCCTGGTGACAGGGATTTTTCCTGCATTTCCCAGAAAAAAATGCCAGTTTTTCCTTCATAGCCTGAAATCTGAGCAGGCCAGGGGCTGTTCTTGTGTATGCAACAAAACCCTTCTGAGCTCAGTCCGTGTCCAGTGTTCTTCCTCTCTTCCTTTTGCCATTGTGCTGCTGTTGGAAGCTTCAGGAACATCACAGATATTTTGGATTTTAGAGCACGTGCCCCTGTGCCCTGCAGCCTGGAGGTGGCTGGGAGTGATGCAGGAAGGGGGTTTCAAGTGAAAACATGAGCTGCTCAGTGGTGTGGCCTAACAGACAGGGTCGGGTGCTCGTGGTTTGGTTCTTGGGGCAATTTTATTCCCCGTGTTGCAAACCAAGGAGTTTTCTAACCCTGTGATATTCCTCCCTGGCAGCTGGAGCTGAGCGATAATAGGATTTCTGGTGGCCTTGAAGTTCTAGCAGAGAGAACTCCTAACCTGACACACTTGAATCTAAGTGGCAACAAGATCAAAGACATCAACACCCTGGAGCCCTTGGTGAGTGGAGGGTGGTGCTGGAGGCCAGGGCCTGACCTTGTTCCTTTGTGCAGCACGAGTCCAACGTCTTGGTAACTGTTCCAACAGCACTTCGTGGTTCTGATGGGAACAGATGAGTGGGTCCAATTTGAGGCTGGGCTAATAGTTAATGGCTCCTCTTGTCTGGAAAACCAGCAGCCAGTTGCTAAAAGAAGCGTGAAATTGGGCTGGATGAGTAGAACTGTGGATGCAGTGCTCAGAGTCCATCTGAGAAAGGACCGTTAATGGGTCGGATGCAGTTGGAGGTAGGTGGCACCTGGGGTGTCATGGAGATGAGTTGCTTGGTCGCCAGTGAGGGTGTCCATCCCAGCAGCCCAAAGGCACAGTCCTGCTGGGCCAGGACTCTCAGCTGGGTGCTGCCCACAGCGTGAGTTCAGGGGGTTCCCATGGCAGGACAGCTCTTGCCTGGTGAGCCTGGCTCTGCAGCTGAGGGATCTGATCTCTGCCTCCTTAGCTGCTGCCTTTGGTCCATCCACGCCCTCCAGGAGGAGCCTGAAGCTGTTGTACTTGTGCTCCAGTGGCCTGGGCAGGGCAGGGGCACAGCCTGCAGCTCTCCCTGTCCTGCTCTCGGGTGCTTGGCCTGGCACCTTGGGCAGGAGCAGCCCAGCTGGGGGCACTGGGTTTACTGCCCACCCCGTGCAGAAGGGAGTGAGGTTCACCAGTGGCTTCACAGGGAGCTGGCTCCGAGGAGGAAACTAGGACAGAGGAGCTGGAGGGAGTCTTCTTTGTTAGCAAGAGGGAGAACTTTGCTCCACCTGAGGAGCACGTGGTGGAAGTGATGCATGCAAGGACACTCCTGTGCCTGATCTGGGTGGCAAACGAGCCATCCTCTGACAGCCTGATCTTCAAACGGTGTCGGCTTGTGCCTCATCTGAACACATTGATCTTTGCAGAAAAAGTTGCCAAACCTCCATAGTCTGGACCTCTTCAACTGTGAGGTGACAATGCTCATCAACTACCGGGAGAGCGTGTTCACCCTCCTGCCCCAGCTCACCTACCTGGATGGCTTTGATGCTGACGACCAGGAAGCCCCCGACTCAGACCCTGAGGCAGATGGGGATGGGCTGGAAGACGAGTATGAGAACGGGGAAGGTGAGGACTCTCTCCTCTTGGAACAACCTTTTTACCCTTCTGCAGGGTCACGTTGCTGAGGAATTGTAACCTGCAGTGAGGTGTGGGGGCTGTGGGGGTGACCCACCTCCCTCCTTCAGTCAGCTGTGTGAGGGAGGAGAGCTGCTGCAGGCTGGTGGGGCTGGTTCTGTGTGGTGTCCTCCTGTAGCTCTGGGGTTGGAGGTGTGAGCGTTTGGGAACCATCACACTGACCTCCTTCTCCTTCTGGTAGAAGGTGAGGAAGAGGATGATGATGATGAGGAAGATGACTTGGATGAAGAAGTCATCGATGATGAAGAAGATGAAGATGATGATCTGGAAGGTGAAGAGGAAGAGGATGGAGTGGATGATGAGGTGAGGCTTTCCACCATCAGTGTACATCTGCAGCACCGTGTTGCTGCCTGTTGGGCCCTTAAGCTGGTGACCCATCTGGCCAGGGGGCAGATCTGAGGAGTCCTGCCCCTCACTCTGGCTTTTCCTGGGCACCTTTTGACTCGTGGTCCACAGAGTTTTTCAGTTCACTCTTATTCCTTGGCCTGGTACTTCCTGCAGCTTCAGCTGCTCGAGTTCCCATCGTAGGGACACAAGAAGCTGTTGAGGAACCAACGGCTTCTCCAGGCCTGGACCTACCACCCTGAGGCTGGAGTGGGGTGGGAGCAGAGGTGGGGGAAGCTGGAATTGCACCTTGCTCGTGGGGTTGTGGTTCTCTCAACAAAGCCTCTTGTTTGGACTCCAGGAGGAAGATGAGGAGGAAGATGGTGAGGAGGATGAAGAAGATGAAGCTGACGATGGTGAGTCCAATGCTAACAAAGTGCTTGCAGAGCTGCCTCCACTGCCCCTGTAGAGCCTCAACTGCCCCTGTAGAGCCTCCCAAGCTCAGTGCAGTGCTGCTCCTGCTGGCAGCTTTCCCCCCATGGAACGTGCAGTGATCCTGCTCCTGGGCACTGCTGCTGACACTGTGGCTCGTGCCCAGGCTGACTGCTGAGTTACACCCAAATTGGGTTATAACCAGAGGGTCACACAGTGGGGAGGGGGAAACAGGTTTCAGTACATCCCAGTACCATCCAACTTGGGTAAGTTTGTTTTGGGCCCCTCACTCTGGGAAGGACTTTGAGGGGCTGGAGCGTGGCCAGAGAAGGACAATGAAACTGGGGAAGGGTCTGGAGCCCAAGTGTGGGGAGGAGCAGCTGAGGGAGCTGGG